AAGATCTACAGTAAATCAACAGCAAATTTTTGCAGGTAATCAAGACACGACAGGTAGAACATGTACATAATGAGAAGAAAGTCTTGAATCAGCTCGAACACCCATTTATTGTCAAATTGTGAGTTTATACATTTTCTTGGTATAGATGATCTGAAAAATTTAAGATACTTATAGGATCTCAACCGATAAAGATGATACAAATCTTTACATGATTATGGAGTTTATACCTGGCGGTGAATTGTTCTCTTATCTTCGAGCTTCAAGGTATGCATAAGTTTGAATAGGGTTTCTCAAACAAGTTCCTTCTTAATTTCATGAATATTTTATAATAGTTATATGTACCAAATTTGATCTCTCCATTGGTTCACTAATAATGCTGAGGTCCTGAAATTTGTAGTTGAGTCTCTGAAATGTTAAGCTTTGAGCCTTGATGATGAATCTCTGTATTAATCCATGTTTCTGGAATATTTTTAATTTACAAAACGTTGACGCATTATCAAGCTTGTTTGAACTTTCTTTTTCGAAAATAATAATCCGCCTAATCCGCTTCTTTGAAATTTTGCATCTGGTAGTTTACGAAACAGAATTTGAAAAAATTTTCTAACGATGGCAGAAAGTCCCAGATTTTATCTCTTAACTTACAGAGTATTTTCAAACACCATGAGCCGTTTCTATGCAGCTGAAATTGTATGCGCTTTGGAATATATCCACGGCAAGAATATTGTAAGTTGACATTATAATAAGCCTTAATCCTTCATAGTTCAATTTTTTCAGGTTTATCGTGACCTCAAACCAGAAAATCTAATGCTTTGCCGTGACGGACACATCAAAATGGCAGATTTTGGATTTGCTAAAGAACTGAGGGATAGGTAAATTTGCAGCAGTTAATCACATGCCAATGTAATCGGCTTTTTTCTCTTGTTTGCTACAAAGCGCCTGGCACGACCAAGCAAATCTTTGGCCAGCAGTTTGATGCAGAGATGAAGAATGACTGTGATTTACATGAAATTAGTTCTGCAAATGTTTCTGCAAAGATTGATGGCTGTGTCGTAAAGAAATTAGAAAAATGAAAAAAGAGGAAGCCTGATTGCTGCAGTTAATTATTTTTGAACTGTGGGATAAGATGATTGAAAGCTGTACCTAGACCTATCGAAAAATAAGAGATATGTTGCAAAACTGCTCTTGTAAGCCTTGAGTCTTCCAAAACGTTGAATGTCATAGTGGTTGGGGTCTCATTTTCCATGGTGCACTGTGAGATATATTGGCGCAAAAATTTATTTTGAAATCTTCAGAAAAATGTCAAAAAATATTTTCAATTACACCATGTTTTTACAATGCGCACGAAAGGAAAAATTTATGACAAACCTCTAATGATTTATTTTAAACATCGTTTGGTAGCGCCACTGCTAAAAATACATTCTAAAAAGCTATAGGAAAGAAAAAAACACCGTCAGAAAAAATCAAAGAAAAAAACCCTGAGTACGTTTACAAAAGTCGTGAACTTGCTAGCTATTCGTGCATTTGCGGCATTAGTCATGCAGTTACTGCCATATATACTTTAAATATGAAGCAGATTTGGAGGTTTTAGGAATCTTGAATTTTTCTAGAATTTAAGAGTAAAAATGTAACCAGCCCAATTATTTATTTATTCAGGACCTACACATTATGCGGAACTCCGGAATATTTGGCTCCTGAATCATTGGCGAACAAGGGTCACAACAAGGCTGTAGACTGGTAAATTTTTGCATCAATATCTCAGATTTAACAACCTTTGAGCTGTGTAGTC